ATTTTTTTTTTACTCAGTTCCTTTAGCTTTTCTTCTTTTTTTCTTTTTTAGTCTATCTGTTATTCCAATTTTTTTCTTCTATTTATTAATTTTTTTATATCATATTCTCTATACTTGTTTGTAAAATGTATCTCAGGCCATTATTACTACTATATTTATAAACTGCTATCTTGATTTTGTGTTTAGAACTGTATTAATCTGTCTTGCATTTCTTTTAAAATTAGGCTTTTAATTGATGCTTCTCTTATTTTTATTTTCATTATTTTTATTTTTTCAAAAAGTACTATATATAACATATATGAAAAAATCCTAATTTTTTCTTTTTCTTTTAGTTTTTTCTGTGCTATTGCAATGGTCACTTTTTGAATTCTCTTCTAGAGATTTCTTTACCCCTTACATATTACCAAGTATGGCTATGTTTTTTTATTTTATCTTAACATATTTGGCATTACATTTTTGTGTATATGTTTAGTTTTTTTTGTTAAGCTCTTCCAAGATTAAAAGTTTATTTATTATGCATTTAATAAATGCACTTCTTCTGAAACTGCTTTTTTTTGTTGTGCAATATATTTCTTTAGTTATTTTTAGCCTTTTTCAAAAATATGTTTGTTTATAAATTGTTATTTCTGTTTCTGGTTTTAAATTTTTAATTGCTTTTGTTTCTTTTTACTCTGCTTCTATATTTGTATTTGTTACTAACTTGCAAAGCAGTCTTGCTAATATGTTAGTTTATCTGTTTTTTTACTCTAAGCAGTATTTTATTTCTTTACAACTGACTTTTTCAACTTATACTATTTTCCTGCTCATTGTTTCTTTCTTTGCTAAGCTATTAGCTTTATTATTTCATTTATCTTTGCTATAACTTTTTATTTTAACTAACTCTATTTAAATATTTTTTATCTTAATTAAGTCTTTAATCTTTATTATCTATATTGTATTCTTCTTTTTTATGATCTTGTTTTTGTCTGCTTGTTTAAAACTTCTACTAATGTTTCTTATTGTAGCATTATTATTTGTATATATCTTTATTTATTTTTTTTTGATATCATTAAGATGCTGTTCAAATTGTTATCAATTTTGTTATTATAAATGTTTGCTATCCTTTTAGTTCAAATACTACCTTTTCTTTTAACTATTCTTGCATTTTATTTGTTTGAACCTATTCTATACTCATATTATTTTAGATGCTAATTTTTTACTAACTTTTGTATTAGTTGCCCTATCTGCATATATTGTATATTTGTTCTTGTCTCTTATAATGTTTTTTTTTAGAACTTTTATTATTTTTTGGCTGATACTTTTCTTTAGTTTTTGTTATTTAATAATCTCTATTTTTAGCTCTTCTATTATTATAAAACCTTCAAGCTTTTACTTTTTAACTTCTAGTTTATCTTTCTCTGTTTTGTTTATTATTTAGTCTAGTGCTATTTTAATTTAATTGCTACCTTTTCTTATTAATATATTTGGAATCATGTTAATGTTTCTGTTTACTCTTATTTATTGTTAACAACTATTTTTTATTTGTTTTTCCTTTCTTATATACTCTTTATATCTATTGATCTCAGTTGCTAATTCATTCTTTTTGCTTTGCATTTGCTAGCATTTAATTAATATTTTTTTTTTTGACCATTTTTTCTAGCTATCTATGATTTTATATATTATATACTACTTATTTTTTTCTTTTTCTGTTTTTAAATATATGTTTTTATTTAACTTGCATTGCTTGAATGTTTTGTTTACTTGTTCTAAAATGTTTTTATACTTCTCTACTTTCTGAACTACTGAACATCTTTGATTCAATGGCTTTGAACCATCTGCTTTTTTCTCTTTACTGATTGGACTTAATAGTTTTTTAGTTACTACTATGTAATTAGCTTTTCTTTTTTTGTATCAAGCAGCTAGTTTAGATATATTAGATCTGCTTTATTTATTTTAATAGCTTTTTTCTTTTACAAGTATGCATCTACAAGCTTTTGTATTTTAGTACTATACCTATACATTGTCTATAGTTTACTTTCTGTTTTTATATTTATTTTTAATTTTTTTGTTTTGAGTATTGTAAGACATGCTAAGTTGTTTTTCAAATATATTTTAATTTCTGGCATCTTTTTTGTCTTCTATATATCTTTTGCTAAATCTGCTTTTTGATAGTCTTGTGTTATTTTTAGTTTTATTAGTTGTTCAAGACTGTCTTGTCTGTTTAGTCTTGCTAAAAGGCCACTTATTTGTTTTATCATTAATTCTTATCATAATGTTCTACAACTGCTAAAATCTTTGTATTTTATTATGCAGTTTTTTATTGTTCTTTGCAAAGTGTTTTTTTGTTTTGCCAAACTTATTATTAGTTGGTGTATTTTATTTAAACTTCTGTCTAATATTTTTATTAGTTGTAGCATATAGCTTAGTTGGGTATTATTACTATATTGTTTATATATGCAGTCTGACTTATTGTTATTTTTTTGTGCTTTAGATCTCTTATAGTTTGGCTTATTATTTCTTCTGACTTTTTCTTTACTTGTACTTCTTATATTCTATTGTTTAACTATATTTCCAATAAGCAAACTATTTTATGTCTTGGTTTTTCTATTATTTTACTTTTTTTATATATTACTATTTTTTTTTTTTCTGATTTTTGTGTTCATTATTATTAGTTTTGACTTTGACCTATTTATCTCTATATAATTTATTTTAAAAAACTCTTTGACTATTTTTAAAATTTCTGATAATTGTTCTTTGCTGCTTGCAATCTATATATTTTTTATATATGTTATTGCTGCTTAACAATATTTTATAATATTGTTGCATTGCATATCTCTTTGATCTTGCTGCTCAACTATATATTCTAAGTTTTATTTTCTTAAATTTTTTTTAATAATGAGTTATAAAAAAGACATTATATTAATAATAAAATTACTTTACTTTAGTCTATTCTATCCTTTGTTATTATTTTTTTTGTTAGACTATAGGCTGTAAATATCTTCAATTGTCTCTTGTAAAAGAGGTTCAATATGTATTTAATTGTTTTCTTCAATATTTTAATTTTTTGTAATGCTAATTTAAGACTTTCAAAAAGAACTAAGTTGAATGTCTTTTTCATATTCTGTAGCAGTATTTATATTTTTTTGTTTTTTTTTTGTCTCTTCTATTATTATGTTTAGGATTTGTACTAGTTGTTCTGTTAAGTTTTCTAGAAAGTCTGCAAAGTTTGAACCTTTAAGTATTTCTTTTTTTATAAATACTTTGACAAACCTTTTCATTATCATCTTTGTTACAAGTTTTCTAAATAATTCAATTAATGCTATTGAACAAATATTGTTTAAACTATATCTTACTTTACATCTTTTAGTATTAGATAAACTTGTGTTATTTTTCACTTTATTGGAATTTTTTTTATTTTTAAGTATAAGTTTCTGAAAACTTCTTGTATTTTTATTCTACTTTTTTGATTAGTATATAGCTTATATCTGAGATATCAGAAGCTGTTTCTGTTTTTAACTCTCTTAGTATCTTTTTCTATTTATTTTCTTTAATTTTTTTTCAACTTCTATATACTAGTCTTAGTACTTATCAAAATTAAGTAAAAACTTAATTATTAAGTTTGAGCATACAAATCAGATCTTAAATTATTAAATTATTTTTAGTAATTTTCTACATATATATATATATTAGATATTTATCTGTTATTAGAATTTAGACTTAACTAAATAAATTAAATAGCTTTAAAACTAAACTTTATTTTTTAAAATACTTTGAATTTGCAATTTGTAAAGACCTTAAGATTAGTAGACTTTTTTTATTTTATTTGGTTCTAACTTGTTTCTTTTTTCATTAAATATAGAGAATCTTTTGGCTTCTCTTATGTTTTCATATAGATTTTTCTCTTATTCTTTTCAGCTTATCTTGATCTGTAGTATGTAAATAAACTTTTTTTTTATCTTTTTTTTTTTAAAAAAAAATTCTTTGGTTTTAACTTGTTTTTTTTTCTGTTAAATGTAATAGATCTTTTGACTTTTCTTGTGTCTTTGTATAAATCTTTCTACTTTTTATTCTTTTTGGTTTTCTTTGATCTTGGATATGTATATATGCTTTTTCTTTATCTTTTTTTTTTTAAAAAAAATATTTGATTCTAACTGAGTTTTCTTTTTGTTGAATATAGTGAATCTTTTAGTTTCTCTTGTATTTTTGTGCAGATCTTCTTACTTCTTATTCTTTCTGGCTTCTCTTAATCTCAAGTATGTATATATGCTTTTTTTTTAGTTTTAACTTGTTTTTCTTTTTGTCAAATGTAATAGATCTTTTGGCTTCTCTTATATCTTTGTGTAAATCTTTCTACTTCTTATTTTTTAAGGATTTTTTTAATCTTAGATATATATATATATGTTTTGTCTTTTATTTTTTATATTTTTTTTAGTTCTAAGTTGTTTCTTTTTTTATTGAATATAGTAGATCTTTTAGCTTTTCTTGTGTTTTTGTATAGATCTTCATCAGCAAAATTTATATACAGATATAAATTGATATATAGCATATAATTGATATATATCATTTAAAATATATCGATATATATTAATAAAAATATTATATATCGATTATTATCTAAAATCGATAAACTCTATACACATTACTCTAGTTATACTGACAGCTGGATTAACTGACAGTTGGTTATATCGACATTTTTTTTTAAAAAAAATCTGTTATTATAAAATTTCGCTGGTTATACTGACAATCATAATAAATATTAATTATACTGACATACTGACAATTTTAAAGTTAAAAAATTATTTAGTTTAATTTTTTATGCTGGTTATAATGACAACTTTATAATCTACAATTATAATTTTTAATTAAAAATAGTTGTTATTACTAATAAATACTAAGCAATATAAATTATTTCAAACAAAATAAAAGCAATTTAATTTTTTTTTTAGGTAATTTTAATCTAAAATATGTATAAGATTGTATGCTTTTACAATAATATTATCTTGCATTGTTACTATCAATTGTCAGGAAAGATCAATTTTCAGATCTGTTTTCTCTATTACTTTTGCTGCTGTGAACTAGAATGTGATGCATGCAATTCTTGAATGTGTGCCAGGTTTGTGGCAAAGGCAAAATTCTTTAAAACTTATTTATGTTAGAGTTAGCATCTATATTAATATTAGTTAATAGTAGAATACATTGTAAAATCATGCAAAAAAAGCTTTTTGTTAGAGCACTAAAGGTGGTTTTTTATGCATGTTTTGAGTAATAAGGTATTTTTGATAAAACGAACGTTTGTTTTGAATGTTCCTAATTATGTTATATTATGCTTAATTTTGGGATCTGATTTGTAGTTCAAGAAAACTGTGCCACAAACCTGACACACAATCAAGAATTGCTTCGATTTGGTCAAATCGACCCAAGCCATCTTGAAGTCGATTATTACCAATTTTTCCTTTCACAACTACTTCAGCAATGATCTTGGACTAATTTTCCCTTCTACAACATACATATATATTTTATAGATTTTTGACCATTAATCTAAGCACTATTAGATTTATTATTACTTCATTACAGACTAAGCTTAACACTATACCTTCTAGCTATTTTTGATGTCGCTATTAGAATTAACAGAATTACTATTCAGGCTAGCAAGAAAAAATTTTTTTTCACAAAAGTAGAGTTATAACCCAGGTCAGAAAATATTGACCTGGGTCAACAGGTCATATAGAAAATTATTAATTTTTTTAAAATTAGTGCAACCCTGTGAAAAGCTAATGTAATGACCAAAAAAATTGGATCCCTCTAATAAAAATAATATGCCAAGAAATAAAATTAGAAATATGTGAAATTTAAATAAATAATCTTGGCATAAATCAATAACAAGGTTATCATTTTTATTTTTCAAAAAGCCTTAGTTTATCGGAATTTTCAGTACATATGTACATATGTTCACAAAGCGGTTAAAGCCAATTGTTATTTATGAATTGAGGCTGAATTAGATAAACCTAAAGCTTTGGTGCATTATCTAAAATCAGCTAAGAATAGTGTGGCAAAATTGCACAATGCATCACGCACTTACCCAGATATAGAGTCAGTGAACATTACTTAAATGAATGAAAAAAAATTGTATTGGCATATTTCAGCATCCTTGGATGCTGAAATAAAACATGTGACAATAGATATGGGTCGAATTATAAGATCGGGGCATATAGAAATAAATTATTTAAATAAGTGACACATAAATTAGTAATAGATGCATGAAAAATATCATAATAAGGTTTATAGAAAATGGCGTGATTAGTAATAAATTAATTAAAAGTTAAATGTGCATGATCAAACAGTGTAATTAAATTAGAGAAAGCGCATATATAAGTAAAAGTGAAAAAATAAAATTTAAGGTGTGCTTTTCTCTCTGTAAGTAATATACTCAGAGTGTATCGTTTTAAATACTTACCTTATTCGACCCTGTGGTGGTCGACATAGTTCAGCATGCTTATCAGCTCTAAAGCTTTGGCCTGTTTCACACGTTTTTAACTAGGCAATAAAGGCGAATGCTGTAAAACTAAAAAACGCAAATTTTACTAGATAATATTTGTATGTTTTAGCTTTGCAGCACTCAAACTTTATGTTTAAATAATTCAAAATAATTAAATTAGTAAAACTTAACAGATGGTTATTGAATTAGGCAAAATTTTCCGGAATTAAGTCAGATAGTGAACAGGTACTGTGCAATCAAAAAGAACGTGAAGCACTTGCGGGTCTAAATAAATCATTAAAATTGAATTGCAAATATATCTTAAAATTCGAGGAAGCATATAGCATAAAAAAAAAATAATAATAACAATGAAGCATATGCAGTTTAAATATATCGATAAAATTTGAACTAACCAATGCATTTGTATTAAAAATGAAAGAGACAGTGTGACGCAGGTATAAAAAATCACCTGAGGATTTATCGATAAATAAACTGTTAGAATAAAAATTATGAACAAACATTATTTTAAAGAAAAATTTTTAAATATTATTATTGCTCGATCAGAGCTTTATTGTTAATATGAAGAAAAAACATATGTGAATAGGTCAGCTATTCTCAGGCTCTTAATCATGCTAAGTTATTGCCTTGAACAATTCTTCACCTTCGAACCCTAGTTCGAATGGTTTAAGCTTTATTGCCTTAAACAATTCTCCACCTTCGAACCCTAGTTCGAACAGTTTAGGCTTTAATTGCCTAGTCAAATTCATAGCTTCAACGCCTTAAAGCTCATCATAGGTAAACTATTCAAACAACCTCTAAAAGATCTAACAGATCAGATAGCGATATACAGAGGATCGAGGTCAAAATACTAAGGTACGTTTGTCGGCGTAGTCCTTGCACTGCTAATGCAGCTTTGGAGCAAAATGCCTTTGAACTCAGTGTTACTTGGCCTATAGTGGTCATTGCGCTATTTCAAGCCGTCAAGCCACTTAACAAGGGGTGGGTAGGAAGGGTCGATAGAGCTAACCTTTACCAAGGCAAGTGATAGTGAACAGAAAAATAACCAACTTCTGCTCAACCCAAGATTCTTAAATAGCCCTTACTCTGGCTACACACTCCTACCCCTTTTACTTACTTATTTACATGTGTAATCATAATGCTAACTTACCATTTACATGCATCATCATAATACTTATGCTACTATTCACATGTATTATCATATCCTTTAACTGATACTACTATTTCTTACCACATGCTGGTTATCCGGTATTCTAAAAAAAACGCTTAAGACAATCATATGCAATCATGGATTTATCCCACAAAACCTGTATTCAGTGAGAAAACAAATACTATAATGAACATAATCATAAAAGGCTACAGCAAATAATTACATGTGATCTGCCATAAAGCTTTCTGATCTTGCAATAATGAATACTACATCACTTTGTTGACAAGCTTATCACTTATTATTAAATAAAAAAATAAATCGTGTTAGCATTTTCAGATTGATTTAAACCATGATATCCACATAAAAATGTGTTCTATTTGGAGAGATACTGGAATACATTCTATTTAATATGTTTTCTATCAATACAATTATATGTATAATAACACAACTATCTGTTTATTATATCGATATTAATATATAGTTTAGTAAATTTACCTATTTTGAATCTTAACCCATTTGACCTGGGTTAGGTCAATTTCTGACTCGTGACCCAGGTAATAAACTCTACACAAAAGCAAGAAAATTACTGCTTCATATTATGTTATACGAACAAGCATGGATTTGCACTCAGTTATATAACTATGAATTTAGTTCCCACCACTTGAATATTAGAGGTATTTTACTATTGTTCTCAATAGAACTTCACCTTGAGCCAAACCCAAATTGGCATTATTAAATGCCTTTGTTTTTGTCGATCAATGCATATTTCAGATTCCAAGTTAAATAGCTTTGGATCACTTTTTTTCAGATTATGTTTCTCTGTTACAACATATATATGTACTATATGCTTGTGAATTTTGCATTCTAGTCTTAGAATATGTATATTTCTTATGGGTTTTGGCTTAATAATATTTAATTTTCATATATAATAATTGGTTTTTTACTATTAGTAAAGTGCCAATTATTTAAAAAATTCTAATTAATCAATTATTATAGCAGATTAAAATAAAATTTTATATTGTGTAAAATAGACAAATCACCAAAAAAATACAAAATTTTGGGATGCATTTTTTTAGCTTTTTTTTGGCGTTAGTGGTTAGCTTTAGGGGTAGAATTCATATTAAACAAGTATAAGTGGGTTTTTAGAGGTTAAATAAAAACTCCAAAGTTCATTTTAATCCAATTTTATTATGATTCATGACAATCATTATTAAATCTTTAAGACTAGTTTTGAGCTTGTATTTAATTTTTTAAATATTTTAAGGAGCTATTATATTCTGTTATAGAAACTGATAAAATAATACAAAATAATTTATCATTACACAATATTTAATTAAAATTTATTGAAAATCATATGTAAGAAAAAAAATATGATCAATATAATTTTATATACGTGTATTAAAATAAAAATAAGATATAAATAAAAGTCTAAGTAATTAATTTTCTTTTCACATATCTTGAGTTATTCTTGTAACAACATGTCTGATAACGAAATTATTTTTGCAAAACGCAAAACTGAAGTCAAAGAAAAAAGTAATTTAGTATCTAAAAAATCTTGGAAAATATTAAATGACAAAGAAAAAAAAGAATTATACCAATTCGCAAAAAATAATTCAAGTTTTACTCAACAAGAATTAGCCAATGAATTTGAAATTGGTCGGTCAACAGTGGCTGATATTCTTGCAAAATCATCCTATTGGCTTAGTTTAGATGAAGAAAGTACTATAGCACAACAAAAGCGAAGCCAAATGCCAGATCATCCTCAATTAGAAGAAGTTCTTGCATGTTGGTTTGATCTTGCATTAGAAAACAATTTAACAATTACAGGTTTTTTTTTTAATAACTCTAAGATAGCATTTATCAAATAAACATCAAATAATATGATTTAATAATTATAGGTTTAATTTTGCAAGAAAAAGCAAAACAAATTATGACAACTTTAGAAATTCGTAATTTTGCTGCTTCTAATGATTGGTTGCAGAGTTTTAAGAAATGTTATCATATTGTTTGTACCACACATAGTGGAGAGGCTGCTAGTGCCCTGATTGAAAAATTGCCTGAATTTTGTCAATCTTTACAAAATAATATTATAAACTACGATCTTGTAGATGTTTATAACTGTGATGAAATAGCACTTTATTGGCTCTTGAAACCTTCAAAATCATTTACACATGGTCGTATTGCAGGTGTTAAAAAACCAAAAAATCGGGTTACTATAATGTTATTATGTAATGCAGTTGGTAATAAATTACCTCCAGTTTTTATCTATAAATTTGAAAATCCGCACTCATTAAGAAGAATAAAAAAGGCATCTTTACCTGTTAAATATTACTGGAACAAGAAAGCCTGGATGCAGACATCAATTTTTCAAAATTGGTTAACACATTTAGATAATTATATGCATCATGCTCATCAAAAAATTCTTTTACTTGTAGATAATTGCTTAGCACACTCTATCACTGATTTAAATTTAAGCAATATCAAAGTAGTTTTTTTACCAAAGAATACTATAGCATGGTTACAACTATGTAATACAGGAATTATTTACTCATTTAAGGTTAATGTTAATGTTATCGTTATTTTAAAATTTTTTTTATTGTTATTTTTAATTTTTATTTTATTAATATTAACATTAATAATATTAATATTTTTATATACGTACGTATGTACATACATATATATATATGTATTAAATATGTACATATACAATATAGTGTCATTATCGTAAGCTATTATCACAAAATTGGATTGCTGCATTTGATGAATCAAATTTAACCAATGAGCCACCAGATCCAATTACAATTTATGATGCAATTCAATTTGTCTTACAAGCTTGAAATAAGGTTTCGAAAGATATGATTATCCATTCTTGGCAAAAAACAGGTATTTTTCCTCTTACAGAAACTGATAAATATCCAGATATGGAGCTTTTAGCTGATGTGAATAACAATAATGAAGAAATCGAATTGGAAAATCTTATTACACAATTCCAAAACTTAAAAAATCCTGAAAATCCCAAATATTTAAATATTTCTATTAATGAATTTATTGAAATCGATAGTAAATATACAACAGATAAAATGCCCACTATTGAGGATATTATTAAGGAAATACAAGAAAACGAATCTGAAGAAGAACCAAAACAACAAAAAAAAATTATTACAGCAACCCAAGCTTTTAATGGAATTGATTCAGTATTAGGTTATCTTGAACAACTTGACTCAAATCTTGAAATTGATAGTAAAGTTTTTACTGAACTTAAACAGGTACGAAAAGAACTTGTTTATTTAGCAAAAAAAAGTTCTAAACAAATGAAATTAAATTCTTTTTTTATTAAAGAATAACTATATTCAAAGTTAACATTTATAAATAAATTAGAAACTACAATGTAAGGTAAAATTAAAATTATACATATATAAATACTAAATTATGAATAAATTTATCTGTTTTTATAATCAGAATAATACTAAATACAATTTACAGGAACTAGGATTGTTAAATAGAGCGGATTGAACTTGATCTGCTTTAGGTTAATTGTTTCAAATTTGGCCCCAGAATACTTATAAAGTTATATTATCAATTTGATTAAATAAATTAAGTTCTAGCTATTTATTGTGGTAGTATTTTTTTTTTTTTTGATAAAATATTAATTATTTCAAAATAAGCCAGCTTTATATCTATCTTAGTTCTAAAGAAAATGAAATTTAAAAACTATAAAAAACCCCAGTGCTAATCTGAAACATGCTACTTCAATTAAAACCCTTAATTATAATATACACTAGACTTTTAGATTCTTTTAGTATTCTAATAATAAGAATGAGTCTCTTTATTTGTAATTTTTTAAATCTGTTTAAGATTCTAATATGCCGGTATTTAAATATATAAAGCTTATTTAACCAGTTCATATTTTTGACAATCATGATATTAATACTACTCGAAATCATTATATAAAGATTAGAAAATATAATCTTAAATTACACAAAATATATAAAGCAAGTTGAAATCAAGTTACAGTATTGGATGAGTTATGTTATTGAATAATTTATAAAATCTGGTGTTTTTTAGAACGTATTTTTTAAGTATCTTAATACAGTGTTGTTTACTGGAGTATTTCAGTAAAACTGGAAAATTACTGAACTTAACTGGATGGAATTGGAGGTGTAATAGCTTCCAGTGATCGAATGTCACTGGACCATTCCAGTGAAGATTTTTTATTACTAGAATGGAAGTTCCAGTGATGTTCAGTAACTTCTAGTGATCGAATGTTACTGGACCATTCTAGTGAAGATTTTTTATTACTGGAATGGAAGTTCCAGTGACTTCTAGTGACTTCTGATTGGTTAATTCGAATCAATCACCTGGACCAGAGCAAGAGATTGAATCTGGTATAAAATCTAAGCACCAAGTCACTTCCTTATTTGAATATTGTCACTTAGATAATCTATAGTGAAGACATTAATCTTGGTTTAATAATCAAATATATAATAAAGATTAGCACACTTATATTTGACTATTTACCAAAAATTTACCAAAATTTTTTAATTATTATCCTTAACAATAATTATAATTTAACCAACCTGATTGATAAAAAAATCTTTTTTAATTACATCTTGCCAATTACTATATTACAAATGCAAATAAAATTAGGCTATATATCAATTTACTGATAGTTATTTCTCCAAAAGGTCATTTCTTAGTATCATACTGTGTAAAAATTTATAACCAAATATAACTGCAACTAATAGCATCTAAATTACCACTCAGTATAATATAATAACTATTGGAAAGTTGACTGCTATCTGTAAAATTGCTATCAAATCAGAGATCTTATAAAAATTAATTATGTTAGCTAAACCGATATATTAATATTTTGTCAATATATGTCAGTATAAAAAAAGATGCTTGTTAAACTGACATCTGGATATATTGACAATTTTTCTATTGCTAAAGAGTGTTGGTATAGCCAGAGTAACGTGTAATTAGATTATTATCGATATATAGCAAATAATTGATATATGTTATTTTAAAAATAATGATATATAAAATACTCTTTCTGCAAATCCATTGTACAAAAATTAATTAAAAAAAACTGTTCATCTAAAAACGTTTATAACTTTTTATTTTACTAAGATAACCTGTCCTGGTGTCTTAAGTAAACTTGTTCAGCTCAGTGATTTATATATACTCTGAAAATATTATTGATTTAGCTCTTAAACTCACAGATAAAACAGTACTGATGGCTTTTGGCCTCCAGTTTTAGAAAACTAACTTTTTCACAGTTTCTACTGCAATAACTTGTCTCTCATCCTTAATTAAAGTTGTAGTGCATATTTGCTTGGTCATAACAAGCTCTAAAGGAAGAATTTTGACCTAATAACAACTGAACTACAGCTAAATTCACCTTTTACTCTTTTGTAAAACTTATTTTCTTATTTTCTAACTATACCCCACTTCTTTTTTCTTTACACGATATTTGTATAACTATACTATCATTTCTCAATTAATATTTTATTAATTTACACTAAAATCTTATAACCAGTCTATTAATAGAAACTTATTGATACAATTTAATCATTTCTACTTTTGGTTCTTATTAATTATACACAACAATTTGTATTGCAAATCTTATTTGTACCAGTACCCAAGTCATATTTGTGACCCCAACCATTATAGTTACATTTCAGTGCTACTCCTGTGATACTCTAATTATACAACCCTTGTTTCCATCTACTACCCCTATAAAATAATCACCTGATCAAATTTTTAATTTAGAATTTTCTAAGTTCATTTTCTTATAATATTATTTAATTTATCTTATTTAAAAATGACTACATTAACTAACCAAGAGCCTGACATAGCAGACCTTAACTATTTCTACCAAAACTTTTCTAATAGTTTTGGAATTGCTTTTTATGAAGAAGAAAGTGGCAATAATGTTTGTCCAATCCTTCCCAAAACTAAACTGACCTTCTGCTTAACTAAAAATCTTAGATCCAATAAAATTACTCATTTCTTTCAAGCACCTACCTCTATTTCTGTGATTACTTGTCTTTGTGATAAATATTACATTAAATTTATCTCAAACATTAACACCAATTATACCCAAACTACTGAATTCACCACAGTTAATGTTAACATTAATTCTAAAAAGAATCTCAACAAATCAACTCAACAACTTATGACTGATCTCTTCTTTTCAACTGACAGTGTTTCTTCATCTTCTACATTCTAGTGTAATAGTTGAGTTGTTATTCTTTAAGTAACAGGTTCAAGATTCAAATCCCATTTACAATAAAATTTAAAAATTAAACTGTGTTACAAAACTGTTTTCTATCAATTAATTAGCCTCATATGACTGTAATTTAGATATACCAAGTTAGGTTCTACTCATCATTAGGAGCTTAGAGTATTTATTTTTTTTTTTGATATTAAGGTGAGGCCTTGCTCGTATCTTTATTGGTAGTTTAAAAATTAGTAGCTACGTGGAGCTGCTATGTACAGAAAGTAATTTTCTATATAAATGCTATGGCTAAAACCAACACTTGCAGTCAGGACTAAACCATTAAACTGCTAACTATATAGCTAC